ATGCCGGAGCAGTACCCCGCCAAACAGGCCACGGACCGAGGGGCGAACTTTTCCTCCCATTCCTTGTCCTATCCTACACTACACACACTTGCGTGCCCTACACTATCACACATGTCGCGTGACTGGTAGAGGTTATGGGTGACTGGGGCAGTTCCCCACTGGTGCCAGATACCTGGTTGCGGAAACCCCGCTAGCCGACGGTAGGTGTCGCCATCCGGCGGGGTACGATCACCGCCACCTCCCGAGAAAGAAACATGCATTACAATTACGGGTTTAATGACCTTAGCAGATGATGCGCCCGGAATAACTAGTAATCAATGTGTTCAGTGGCGAGTTAGGTTCTGAGGGCCGCGGGTTCGAGTGTCATGTTGAAATGGTTGTTTATCTGAGTGTTGAGGCGTGTTGGGGCGCCCCAGCCACTGTGCGTCATCATTCCCATGCTATCCCGTCGTGTCTCACCCGTTCTGGTGGCCTTGGAGCGTGTGCTAGATCAACACCACCTAGACATACAAGGCCTTAGCAGTCATTCAAGATGGCCACCAAAGAAGGCCATACAAATTGAAATACAAAGTAAAATTGTGGTTACCAGACGAAAATTTATGATAAATTTCACTAGATTTCATAAGAAAATAGCTTTCCTTTCTTCAGCTTGAATATTGCACATAAATTTAAGTTGTTTCTCAGGCGAAGAAAGCGTACACTTTCAATTAATACCATTATCATTAACAATGGACATGACTTTTTTATCATACTTTTTATCATAGTTTCCTCACCTGGAGACACCACTCCTAAACACCATGACTCGCGAAAAAAAATCACTATGTAGAATATTTTTTTCTCTGGAAATGTAATTGTTGTAAATACTTTCTAAAAATCAGTAAATATATTCAATGAAGTGATAAGAAAAACGTAGTAACCGATATTCATTAATTAACTCTCTTTATATTTGAAATGAATATGTGAATAGGATAAATTGTTTTGTTGAAAACAATGTCCAAAGCAAGACGCAAAACTCTGAAGGCTCAAACACACTGACCTACCTTTTTTCTTGGTTTGTGAAAGACAAATACTTCTTTATGCAAGTCTCTAAACGGCCTTGTGTAGTCTCCTTCGACATCAGTCAAGTACTTGGCAGATAACACGGAAGTGAAGGGATAGAAGCATGATCGGCCCGCACGATGTTCCCCACTACTCGCTTTTCTAGCACTTGATGAAAGCGGCGTTCTCTGAAGCAATCGTCCGTTTACATTCAGACTACAGTAAATAAAGGCAAGTTGTAACATATTTTGATGACTCTTTTCGAAAATAAAAAATCCTAAACTTCCATTTATTTGCGAGTACGTGCTCTTGAAAATTGAGAACACTAGTCTGAGACATAACCAGAAATGCATGCGTATATTTTTTCATTAACCTACGTTTAATTTTGTACAAAACAGTTTTAGCATTCAGCATATTTTACGCAGAAGGACAATTTTTATTTCTCTCATAAATCTGTATAGGAACGGGGTTTGGCACCAGTGCGTCCCTGGTCTTGACATCAAAAAGTATATCGAAAGTTGCCGAAGCGTTCGTGCGAGCTGCAGTAAACTCCACTTCGTTAGGAACTACTTACTATTCTGCTAGCCCACTTTCAATCTTAACACAGTATTTTGAGTAAAACTAGGAGTGTGCGTGTGTGCAATTGTGCGGATGTGTTCGGTTCTGTCACTCGCGACTAGACTACTTGCCGTGTACCAATCGAGACGTATGAGGTGTTATTTGACGTGTCTCGGTCATTTGATGGGGAACTGAATATTTTTTCGGATCTGGCCTGTATGGAGGTAATACACAAGGCCATTGGGTGTTGGAAACTTTCGAACGGGAGTATAACATTATCTGCTACTACGATTCGTTGGAAAGTCCAATGACCGATACTCAAAGAACACATTAGAACGAAGCTGAGCATGAAAGAAATTTTCAACACATGAAACTATTTTTAAAAAAATTTACAGCATCGGTGACGCCACATTTTACTAGTAACGTATTAATTTACAAACCCTTTAAACCAACATTATCGCTATCTCCGCAGCGACTCTGACCGAGAAGTTCTACGGTTCGAGTCCCGACGATGGCGGGACCATTTTGATACCAGCTAGATAGCTAGGTGGGGTTCAGTCGGTGGCTGGAGATGAATTCTAGTAGCCAGCGGCTCTGACCGACATTTTTCCGTAGTTTACCCTGTCAAGTAGTGCCCTAGGCAGTGACCTAACAATTGCGCCTCGGAGCGCGTGAGATATTTCCTTCCTGTTCGTTGTCCTTTTCTTACCTTTTACTTACACCCTGACTTACTACACTTACAAGCACCATACTGCCACATTTCTCTGAATCTTAAAGCTGTCTGTAGCTTAAATGTAGACCCAGCTGAGAGATACCTGATTAAGGAAAACCCCGCAAATCAATTTGTAGTTCGGCACCGAACTATCTAGCGCGGGAGGAACGCTTATATTTCCAGGCATAAAAACATTGAATACATTAATGCGACCAAAGTCCCTAGTAGTTGACGAGCTTTGATACACACACACACACACATTATATATATATATATATATATATATATATATATATATATACATGAGAGAGAGAGACAGACAGACAGATTTATTATTTCTGCAGGTAGATATAGAACCTGGTGGCAGGACACAACAATTTACATGTTACAACTAAGAATATTAATACACTAATTTCAAATCATTATAAGGCAATAATAACAATAATATAATAATAATAACCATAACAGCATTACCTATACACTTTATGACTGCCCTGCACGAATTTCTTAAGTAATAAATACACAGCACTTCACTCCACTTCAATCCACTTCACTTCACTTCACAACACGTAACGACACTCTAATTGAACTACTACTTTAAATATAATTGTATATTTAACAAACCAATGCATTTAACAATGATTATCGCAATACTAATAATAAAAAATAACAATTATAATAAAATTAAATAATAAAATAAAATAATAAATTAAATAATAAATTAAAAATTAAATTAAAATAATAAATTAAATAAAATAAAATAATAACTATTATAATATATATATGTATGTATATATATATATATATAAATTAATTAACTCATTCCTCTTGATAGGTATGTTCACAACTAACTGTCATTTATATTAATTTAACGACACGAATAAAACTAGGAGACAAGAAAACAATTCACTTTTCTCGTTTTGTTTCTGATATGATTCCCGGAGCAGTAATTTTGTAAACAAATTAGGAGACAATTGAATAACAGAACACAGCTAAGATTGTGTGCCCAGTACTGGCAGACAAACACTTAAGTCAACTTAATATGATACATTAATTATAAATAAGGTAATATAAGGAAATGAAAAATCATGAAAAGTTGCTCATCAATGCAATATATTTTGATGCGAAGCATATGTACAAGTATGAAAAATGCAAAACAGTTCATATTCGTTCACATAATACATAATATATCACAAAATCATAGAATAATAACAATATATACCAAATATCATCTTCCGTTTTTCCACTCTCAATGCACTGTATCGTTGTGAATGTGCTAGTCTGCAAGGATAAATAAATAAATACAAAAATAAATACCTAAACAAATATATATATATATATATATATATATAT